TATTAAATAAGATATCCTGTGCTTTGCATATCTGCGCACTACGCCGCGGCCTGATATTCCCCCGAGCAACTGTGATCTATTAATACAGAAAGACACCACCTCACCCACTGCTCGATCTATCCACTAGACGGGAAGAACTACCAGGCAGGCTGTTTGCTAATACAATGGAAACTAAACTAACATGAAGTAACGAGTCTTTGGAATGGTTTCCTCAAGGGCAGTCCATGCTGCACAGGGTCGTTTTCTTGTTTAAATCCGCCTCTGCTCCTACGGATGAAAATACAGTTTCGGCAGTATCAAACAAGAAGCAAGAAAGTAAAAATTTTCCACAAAAGTACATTAATGCTACCTCTGAAACATATTAATCAGTTCCTACATTCTAATCAGTTCACACTCCTAAGAAATATGTTTCATTTGACCGGTAATCTACAGTGATTTAAATTGTAAAATTATGTATTCTACTGTAAGAAAATCATTCAGGTGCTTCTTAAAAGACGTTAATGAGGAGCAGCTTTTAATATTGAAAGGTAATTTACTTCACTGCCGAGCTATAGTAATTGCGAACGATTTATTGTAGTTGTTGGTTTTGCTTTTTGGAACACAGAGGAACTGGGATTTCTGAAATCTAGAAGATTTAAGATGTAGGAAATAATGTGTTAAATATGAAGGGAAACCCATTTTTAGCATTTTAAATGGATCTGATACTCTGATACACGTCAAAGGCTGTGATACAAACGCGTATTCTTTAGTGTTAATATTTTGTGCTCTTTATAAACCGAAGATGTGATCGTATTTTTTATATTATAAATGAGATGAATAGAGGCATTTTGAGCTCTCTGCAGAGTTTGAGAGAGTGAATCTTTCAAATTGTTATTCACAATGTCACCGTTGTCGAAATGATGACACAGCAGGGTTTTTACTAACATTTAATTATTATTAGTAGGGAGACATTTATCGATACATCTAAGGACTTGCAAAGAAGCATAAACTTTGCGACAGACATTTCGGATTTGATATTGTAATGTATTACGTTTGACACAAGGTGGTATTGGTTTTGAAACATTTTCAAAGCAGTAATTCATGTCATTCAAGAGCATATCAAAAGGAATTTCAGAAGAATTTGGTTTCGTGATCCCGACCTCTCTCAGTTCCTTCCAAAAGTCTTTTGTGTTTATATTTTCTTTAAAAATATCATCATAATATTGAATTTTCGCGTTTCTAATATTTTGTTTTATGGAATTCCGTAACATTTTGTACTCTCTTTCATTTTCAGAGGTTTTATTAGACTTGATACGATGGTTAGCTGCGTCGCGTTCCTGAATGAATTGTTTTAATTTGTTTGTAAGCCATGGGGACCCGGGACGTGTCATATATCGCGTTTTCCATGGTGCACATTTACCGAAAAGATCTGATATAATTTCGTTAAAGACTTCTACTTTACTATTAGGAGATGTTTGATTATAAACCATATGCCAGGGAGCTTTGGCACTGTCGTCGAACATAGCCTCAGTATTGATATTTCTGTAGTCACGGTAGCGGATCATTTTTTGTTTATATTTAGGACATTTTATTGAGTACACCAAAATAGCTAATCATGCTTTGATACTAGCGAAACAGATATCTGTCCATACATTAATACTTTCGAAGTGTCTGACACAATCGCGTGATCTATGCATGCTAGGGTAGGAAGTAGGGCAAAATTCTATTATCTGTAAATTGTATGAATTAATAGTATCAATAAACCTTTCGACCGAGTTTTTGAGTGGTACCTTCAGATCGCAATTGAAATAACTCATGATTATGATATTCCGATATTTACTTGAGAACTGCGAAAGGGGAATCGCTACCTCGGATAGAACGCCCGTTTTCGGGAACCAGTAATCAACAGCAACGAGTGTACGTTTCATTTCAATTTGTATTTCCGCGAACATATATTCCATGCCAGGTAAAGAGGATGTGGAGTGAGGAACTACTTTAGCCTTAATGCGACCCCTCCACCCGTCTTCTCTTTTGAGTTGCTTTTAATTTCCGACCTATCATTCCGAAGTAGTTTATAATTAGATACCGATACAATACCTGATTTTATTGTAGATTTTTGCCATGTTTCGCTTATTAATAACAGGTCTGGTTTCATTTCAATTTAATATTTGAAATTTTAGAGTAATGCTGTTTAAGTGATTGGGCTTTTACGTGGAAAACAGGCAAGCCACGAGGAAACTCTGACAAAGATATTTGTAAATTTTGGACGTTTGTAGGAATACTTCGAGCGGGTTTGGGGATTTCCAAGGGACCGGGGTAAGCCAGCATTCTCTCCACTTCTGAATTAGCACTAAACACAGGTATAGAATTTCTGAAACGCGTGTACTGAGGAAACGTCCGAGTTAAGCTTCGTTGCATCATTCATGGAGATATCAGTGGTGGAAAAAAATCAAATAGCAATGAGCAGAAAGGAATCAGAAATACGTTGCTTACGAACACGTGTGTCACTAACCACTTAGAATCAGTCTAAGTTTCTTATAACTAATTAATATTCTAGAGGGATAATAGTTAACTATAATTATAAAAATAAGGACAGTATTAATACAAAATAAGAGAATTAAAATATATAATATAATATAATATAAATATATAATTAATATAAAATAATGTAATTCCAATATTAGTAATAAAAATTAGAAGTAGATGTGTTAACAATAAATATTATGATATTAATAATAGTAATAATTTTAATATCACTATAAAAATTAACAAGAGATTAAAAAAATTATAATTAAAAATCTTTTGTTTTAAGACCGAGAGATAGCACATAGTCTTCTGTTCCTAATTATTTATACTATCTAGTTTTGCTACAGTTCTGGCGCGAACGTTGGTATTTCTTACCTTTGCGATGACACCATCTGTTGTCCAAACGTTCTGTTGGCCGAAGAGTTCCACTGCCTTTTTTAGGACTTCCAGGCTGCGATCAATATCGCTTAGATCTAATTAGATACCTGTCTTTTTGGCAACATTAATTGCTACGCATTCGGTGTCCTCGACATCACGCTCAGATTCCCCAAAGATGCTTAGGCAGTTTCTAGGCTGGTACTGCTCAAGCTCGTCAGTCCGCTCCGCCAGTAAACATTTGAGATCATCGATCTCCTTTGTCTTCGGTAACAGTTTCACTTCGTAACGAGAAACTAACACGTCCAATTTCTTTTCCAGTGCTTCGGATACAACCTGCGCAATTTTGCTTATGAAAACATCTGAAGTCAGGATGCTTTCAATAAGTGCAGCACAGACAGCGTCATTACTTTTGGGGTTGCGTGTGGCTATGTTATCGAAAAATTAGAAGTAAAAACAAACTTATTTCACATGAGAAATTACTTTTAGGAAAAAACTAAAAGTATTAGCGATATATTAAAAATATAGGGGTTTTCCTTAACTTATATCAAGCAGACGTTGGCTGGTAAATTATCACAATACTAATAATAACAAAAACAATAATAATAAAATAATAACTATTTTAATATGACTTACTTACATATTATTAAATTTTACAAATGTCAAATTTAAAAATTTTACAAAATGTAAAAGTAAATGTACTTTTAAATCTTTGTTCACCAAGAGAAAAGGGTTCCATGGCTGTGGCAGGCTAGACGTTCATATGATATACTTAAGACGATTGGATGATGATGAAGGGTGAACAATCACAAATACGACTATGTCTACGCAGGACTCGAACCTGCAGCTTCCTCGGCGCAGACGGCTGCCGCAACCGTCTGAGTCACGGAAACGATTTATTATTATTATTATTATTATTATTATTATTATTATTATTATTATTATTATTATTATTATTACTATTACTATTATTATTACTAAGAAGGAAAAAGCTTATTTTCTCCCGCGTACTACTGATTGGATTGATTGATTGCTGTTTCTGGGCACAATACCTGCTACATTAGCCCCATTAGTGTAATTCTCATTTTATCACGGGATAGAACTGGCTTGAGGGGATGCAGGTACGCGTGTGTGTGTGTAAGAGGAAAGGGCGGAACAAAGCTGAGGATCGGTTTGTTAGGACACTGCTTCAGAATTCGTTTGGTACTGGTCGGAGAAACCACGGAAATCTACCTGTCGGATCAACTGGTGGCCAGAATTCTTCTCCAGGCAGCGGTTGAATTGAACCTAGATATCAAAAATCTTGCCACAGTCGAGACTCAAATTTTATATCTTTCCGCTCAGAGACACTGCAGTGACATCAGTTGATGCACCGTTCCTGAGCCACCCCAGCCGCTGCCAGTGATTTAAGGTTGCGCATAAGATCAACGGATGCGACGGACATTCATGTACATTAACATACAACGTCCCCAAATACCGATGTCTATAATATTGGGGTCAGAAAATCCTCAATTTTCCTGAGAACGGTATGGAAGAAAAGGTGAATGACGGATAAATTGGGTGGTGTCAGTTATTTCAAAATTTAATTTGTTCACAATTGTAATTTGGGACTTTTCTATTCTCAAACAAAATGTCAAAAATGTAAAAAAATCGAGCCCAAAAACATCGACCATAAACTATTGATGTTGTAAAAAATTAAATGTAATAAATTGATGTTTCTATAAAGACATGGATGTTTTGAAAACAATGACAGCATCCCCTGACGATCGTGGTTTAATGCCAGAAACGTAGTTGATGTTTTAAAATATCGGTGAGATTCTGACGCTTTGCGAAATCGAATTCTTGAGCCAACTGCTCAGATCAGCGCTTTCGGTGTTTTCCTTGAGCACTTCGAGGCGAATACCGGAGGTTTCTATTCCATCCTCATTTCTATCCTGAGAGTCGAGCGGCTGGCCGATCACCCGTCCTCGTATGGCAATTACCATTCATTCAGAAAGTCTCCCACACATGTCGGAGTTCCGGAAAGCAGCGACACGCTGTGAATCTCTCGAGGCTCTGTGTTTCATGCTGAGAAAATCGAAAAAATGAAACAAAAATGTAATTCGATGCCCCATTTCTACCTGCACAACTTCTGGTAATAAGGGAGCTCTGTAAGGCAATGTCCAGAACTGGACCAAAGTCTGTTTTGTAAATTCGTACTGACTTGCAGAGCACTTGGACCCTGAACGCTGGAATGCTGGAATATATATTAACGCCAGAATGCAGCCGCTCTGCGCATCTAACTACTCCTCTTGAAGGGTTTTGGAATCCTAGCTAGGGCGCCTCCTCTCTCCCCCACTGTGGCTACGACGTCTGAAGTTGCTCAGGGGAAAGACGCCCTATACAACTTGAGATTGTGTCGAATTGCTCCTCACTGACCCTTCAGTCAAAAGCTACTGCCACGCCAAAACCGGAACAGAACTGCCGACAAGAAGAATCACAAGAATTCGAGAGGTGAGGGGCCTGACTTCCCACTGTGCCCTTTTCGATGAAAGGTATCACCGGATGAATCAGAAGGCCGAATTGACATTTGTAATCTTACATCGAAGCCTAGTCGAAACCATCTGCCACCAATGCACCCTTTCGGGGTATGCAGAGACTGCGAGTCCAACTCAATAGTTATTTAATGAAACTCGACGCGGGCTTAACTATATTTAAAAGGAAACTCTGGTTGAACAAGTTCGGTAGACTGATTATTTCGTCCCTTGCGGAGAGTCAACTGTTATTATTCCCGTACGTGCAGTGCATGTTTTTATCACGAAAGGTAGCGATGTTCTTTCCCCTCTGGATGGTGAGATCTAGCGTCGACCTACACGTTGACTTGCGGGTGATTTTCCACTTAAGGTATATCCCCAAGCGCGTCATCGCGCCAGTCGGGACAATATCTAGGCTCTAGACTGCTCTTGCAACAATAGTTAGCTAGAGCATGTAAGTATGAGTGTGTAATTAAGAGCTAAGGATGGGGCAGCCGACCGAAGGAATTCTCTTCCATATTGATAAACTAGATCTTCCTGTCGAGATAGTGTTCAAAATCCTATCGTCGTCGGGTGTTGAACCCTAGGATCTCTCGATCAGAGGCATTACATAGGCATCACTGAACGTATACAGGAACCTTTAAAAAGACGCACGTTGCGAATATAAGAGGTTTTAAGGGCATGGCTACAAACTGAACACAGTTTAATTTGATTTATTTCGCACTCTTTCGTCAAAGAACAGTAACAAGAGAATTGTTCCTGAAGGATTTTCCACCTTTCGAAAATTAACTTGCCAGGTCGGGCTTAAACTGGCTGACTTGAAATAACGAAGTGTGTTAACCGACATACCAAGGAGTCGGAGGTTAAGGGAGATGTGGAGATTGGAAAAACACCCATCATCCATGACTCAAGATGAGAGTGGAAACAAGTTCAGATAGAGAGAATGGCATTTCGTACATTGCCCGTCTACGAAGCTTTGGTTTCGGACTTGCAACTTTGTACACTATTTCACATAATTTACAGTAAAAATTACAATAGTTAAAGTGTGAATACAAAACGATGGTTATACGTTACAATGCAGTTTACTAATTAGAAATGTAAATATGTCGCAAACGAAAAAGAGTGTAAATAGTTACGAATAACTAGAAAGTTGATTTGCAGATACGAGTGAGGACTAACATGATTTCCAGATACGAAAATGGACCTCGAAAATAAGACATACGATTTTAGGTCACTTGTAGCAACGACAAAAAACATTGTGGAAAATAAATGAAGGAAATGAAATGGACATGTGACTGAAGTTTGGGATAAGGATGGGAATGTAACTTTACCTATGTGAGCCCGAAGATGTATGCTAAAATACTGGTACAGTAATGTTGTGTAATACTTCCATGTACGAGGCAAAACTCACAGAAAGTTCTATAAAATGCTGCGAGACGCACGAAGAGCCTGTATGTGTTCTCAAGCAACATTACAAAATAATAGTTTTCATAGATTCTGGATACCCTTAACTTAAACGAAACAACAGTTTCTACTTTAGAAAATTATTATATTTTTTATTAAATCAGAAACAGTTTTATTGTAGGCTATTAACTGCGCTTTAATTATCAGTTTATAATTATGAAATTGAACATTTTGATTCTTTGATTGCTTTGAGTTTCTGGGCGTTTCAACTTTTAAGGTCATTAGTCCCTTTAACATAGTGCATGTTTTCCTCGGGAGGAGGTGGTAATCTTCCCCTACTGGATGGTGGGATCTGTCGCCGATCTACGTTTTACCCGAGCTACCGGAGTTTCCCCCGAGGTTTCTCCACCAGCAGGGCACTGCACCAGCAGGAACAAGCTCTAAGCTCCCGATTGTTTATTCCAACATTTGTGGTAGTGTAGTGCCTTTATGTGTAAGTGTGTGTAAGTTGGGGTGGGGATAGAACAAGGAAGAGGAAGGAAAAATCGCGCGCGATCCGTGGTTCGCTTGTTAGGGCCTGTTCCGCCTTCTTGATTTCGCCTGGTGTTGATCGGAGAATCCACGGGAAATGATCGATCGGAGTAGCTGGCCTCAAGAACTCCAGACAGCGGTAGAATTCTACCCAGCTGTCTAGAGTTGAAACTTCTTCCCCCGTCGAACAGGTACCATAGGACCTCCCGGTCAGAGGCATTGCAGTGATATCACGTGTCGCCCTGAACCATTTAAATCGGTATCCAACATTTTGTTTAAAAATTAATTAACATTTTTTCTGATATTTAGTGTTAAATAACTACATTATAATTAATTGAGGAATGACCGCAATTTCACGTCCATGCATTCCAATCTGGAATACACAAGCTGCCGATCAATCAAATTCCCAGAATTTTCGAAATCCACGGGCGGAATTGCATTCTCTTTGGAATTCCCATTTCTTTTGAACCGCGGTAGAGAAATGAATGTTTTCGTAGTTTCATGTACGTAACATACACATAGTTGTACTCATATTTCCCACTGCATTTCGCACTCGTAACTGAATCATTCAAATGAAACGTGAAACCAGCGGGATTACGAGTGAAATATTAACTATACCTCCAATTCGGAGTTCGGCAACTCAACTATTTGCAAAGAAATTGAGACAATATTACGAGTAATTGTACACGACATTTATTGAGTGGAGAATAGGGTAAACGTTTTCTTGTGCTATGTGGGATTTCAGTGGGGATTTAGTTATTTTGTCAACAGCCCTTAAAATTGTTATCCATATACTCGCTGTTTCTATTACCCGGGAGGAAATATTTATTGATATCGCCAAAAAACGCTGGTGCTACCTTTAGACAAAATTGAAGTTAATACGAAGTGTAATACGTAACACAAAATATTTTTAAAGTAAAAAGAGTAGGTACAGAAATTTCGGAACTCTAGAAAGATCTCACTAATAGCACTTCTCTCCCATTCGCCATCCCGCATTTTTTAAACTGTGTTTTCTAAAAAAAGAAATAAAATTAATGAAAACATCTCTGCGCTCCCGAATAATTGGTATACCACTATTATTTCTTTTTGACAAAAAATTAATTTGCTTTGATCTGCCACAGGTAAAGTTCACTTAAAGAATTTTATTTTGACGTAACGTTTCCACCACTAGGTCACTTGTAAAGTGACTTTGAGGGGATGACAGGCATTACTATTTTGCGTCTCTGTAATTTATTCAACAAGCTTGGGACAAAACAAACTTTGAATGGCACAACTGTACTTCTGCCAGACTAGCAGGTTTCCGGCATTCCTTTTGGTTTAGCTCACACATATTGAAGACGAAGTATTGGTCACGGAGGGCTTATTTCTTTTTGAATCGTTACATCTCGGAATATACAATCTTCTTTCAAAGAAATTTAGGGTGTTAAGTGTTCTGTTCTGTCGAGTACCCTCCTTTTTAACTGGAGCTTTGCTCAACAAATTTCAAAGAACCGGAAAAAAAATTTTCTAAAAATATGCTATAACACTTATGTCACATATGTGCTTTTGAACGCCTAGATTTCCCGTTAGTTTCGGCTTGCAAATAACGTTCCCAACATCGTCACACCTCAAGTAAACTTCAAAGGCACGGCGCGTTAACAAGCATCTTCATTTCCGACGAGCCGTTTCACCCAAGTTACTTGAATAAAGCGTCAGCGACGTTAACGAACCTAATGCAGATGGTTTGAAGCTGCCACGGCGCGCTAGAGGCTTACAAGCGGGTGCCCTGCGGTGGCTATACAGGGATGGTGAGAAAGGACGGAGGGAGAAGGAAAGGAAGGGGTGGGAAAGGAGAGGAGGGGAATGGTGGGGAGGGAAGGGAAGGGTGGGGAAGGGAGGGGAGGGGTTTGCAGCAGCAAGTTGCAAACTTGTTGCGGGCGTGAAATTCTCGCTTTGCGCTTCGCGCGCAGAAAGCTTTACTGCGTGCGGGAGGGGGTGTTGCATCTTCGAGTAGATTGGAATTTTGTGACAAAGCTTGCTAAGGAATAAAGATGTGCAAAACAATTTGGGGTTTAAATGGTAGAAGCATGTAATTAAATATAAATTCAAGACGTCTAATTTGAATATTAGATAAGTAGATAGTAAAGAGAGCAAATAGTATTTGTTGTAATGGTGCCTATCGTGGACTTAAGGGTATCACATTAACATTTTGGTTTTGAAACTTTAAGCAGTAATAGCAGTAATATCAATAATATTAATTTTTGTTCCTTTATCCCATAGCACAGACAGAATATGTAATGGAATCATTTTAACAATATGATTTCAAATATCAGCCATAAACTTCACGTTTATGGTTTTACAGCTGTAACAACACACACATGTTAGAATTAAGTTCCAAGGATGGTTAATATTGAAGCACGTGGAGAGGAGATCCATGCAATTTTGTTCCGGAAGGTCGATTAGTATATATGGCCAGCTGGATGGATGTATCACGCATACCTCTATTAGATTAGATGCTTTTGTGCTGAAACTTCATAAAAACTCTAGGAGTGCGATGTAGTTGTGCCTCTCCGGAGATCATTAAGAAATTTAAATTTTGGTGGTACTTTTCATGAAGCCCCTCTGATAATTTTAACATTTTTAGGAAAAAGGCTGAAAAATTTTTCTTGATATTTTTTGCTTCCATAGAGTTAAATGCATTTAAACTTTTTATACCTCTACACTTAGTTATTTTTGCTTTAAATAAAAGGAGTGGACTCCTGATATTTTATGACTTACTATTGTTATCCGGTTTTAAAGTACACACAATAACCTTTAATAAAATCATAAAATTAATAGGTCTGCTAATATTTGTTCATTATTTAATTGTATGAGTTGTAATCGTTCTATTGAAAGCATTCAACAGTTTCTCTTGGAAAATGAGTGTAAGGTTGTTGTTAGAAGATGTAATAGTACAGCGAGTTTCCTGAAGTTTGAAGTGTTTTACTATTTACTATTTATATACAGATTGTGATTTCAAAAAATAAATGAGATTGCATACTACACTATGGAGACATATTATTCAAAAGTTCATTTCCAATAGTTTTTACTTTTCCGTATACATACGTATAAAAGGAGTAATATAGGGAAACGTATGTAAAGCTGCGGAAAATCGATTTCGAGATTTCAACGGAAATACCCGTTTGAGCTTCCCTGATACCGAAAAAGTGTTTTTTAAAACGTCCGTTTGTCAATCCATCTGCAGTCGGTGTGTCCCTGTGTCCGTTTGTCTGTTTGTGAACACCACTTGTGCCTACAACATACGTAGGATTTTCTTCCAAATTGAAGAAACCCCTGTCCGTCTGGCTCGAGGAGAAGCTTTAAGATTTTGTAAAACATTTTGTAAAATTTTGGGGGTACTTTAAATGAAGGCTCCCGAACATTTTTAAAATTGTCTCAAAACCGAGGCTTCAATATTTTTATTTGGGATAAATTGACAAAAACCAACAGAAAAATTTAAATGAATTCGTGAAGGTGTACTTTGTTTCTTAAGTGAAAATTTTAATTCTCATTTACACTATTTCACAGGTAACTCATGACACCAATAAAAGTACTCTGCACAGCTGTATTTCTAAGGGCTTGTCTTCCGTGCAATCTTTCTTCTGTCTACTTTCATTTTATTCACTGACAAAAGAAAAGTTTGTAGAAATTATGAAGGTATGTTTTGAATTTTGATTCTATGTAGCCACTGTTTAAGTTGGGATTTTATGGCCTATTAATAGTTAATTAAATAAGCAACTATTTGTTTACAATAAAAATTGAATCTTATTAAAATTATTAAGCAATGAAGTTATGAGAATAACAAAATGTACAGTTTCGAGAGAGAATTACGTAGGGTGCTGAGGCTCCGCGTATTCATTCATTCACTCGTGTACTGGATCCGCATCCTGAGGTTAAGATCTAATTATGTATTTTCTTTTGTTACGATATGTCAGAATAACAGTAGACGTCAGTGAAGTCGACCATTAAACAGGAGAGGCTTATGAAAGGTCTTTGTATGTATCGATTTCCACCTTACATTAGCTCGGAGGCATAGAAGAACGTCTTTTTCGACGGAAATGAGATAATGTGAATGTTGATCTTTTGCTCATATTGGAAGCCTTAATGAAATGGAAGACCATAAAGGATCAGGCTGTACTTTCATAATTATATCACACATTTGACGCTTATTACTATTAAATTGCAATGAAGGGTTTCTGATAACGCAATATTAGCCTGCACTCAAGGAAATGTATATCGATTAGATTGTTCCTGAAAACTTGTCTACGGCACAACTTTGGTGTCAAGAGTACACTTGCATACTAGTTTAGTGCGTAACTTACATTTAGTCCTTCTGAAACATGGAGCATCCTAAAGTTCTGCGTGATGTTTTTCCGTTGCTAGCTCAGGCGCGAATGCTTGGAATAGCGCCATACAGTTTGAAGTCTCCAGCGCGTGTTGTGCGAAGTGCAGTTGGAATGGTCATTTCAACAGCAACATTTACCGGACACCTTTTGAGACCTATAAGTGTGTCAGCTCTGTACAACTTACAGTCTGATTTCTTTAAGGGTTTTCGTGGAATGAAGATTGCCCTTTCTAGTTTATTCGTAGCAATGGATATGCTAATACCGCTGCTACTCGTGGGTCTGTTTATGACAAAGTTTTCAATGGTCTCCAAATTTGTGTCGCTTCTTGCCCGCTCAGAGGATGTATTTGGCCCTCGCTCTGTAAGAATATCGAAATTGAGGTGGGTTGTAGGTGTGATGGTAGCTCTTAGCATTCTTAATTTTGGAATCACAACCATCGAAATACTTTCATGGGAACAATGGTTTTGCTTTACTATGTATGGATTTTGGCCGCGTGCTACAAATTACGTGATGATCCACTTGTATTGTATCTTTGTGACATACATGAAGAAATATTTCGAATCTATCAACCAAGAGCTTAATGTGTTAACTAAGCAAATACAACATCAGCAATATAATGCCATTAACATCCACGATCCTGAGAGATCCGAGCAAGTACTTAAAATCCAGGCTGCGCAGTTTGGAAGCATTCAACACAAAGTTTCCAGTAATGTTTTCACTGATGCCATGGGTATCATTATAAGACTTCAGAAAGCCCACATGCATGTGCAGGAAACATGTGCGGCCATTGACAGCATGTTCAGCGTCCACATCCTCCTCCTGTTCATGCACGTCTTAACGAGCGTGGTCGTTGACATGTACTACTTGGCCCAGGGGGGTGGGTCCTGGTTGGGAACGCTGGGAACGCTCTATTTCGCCCTGAACGCGGCGTTGGATGTGGTGAAGGGGGCGGCGGTGGCGCTGGCGGCGGGCAGGGCGGCGGCGGCGGGCCACGAGGGCGCGAGGGCGGCGGCGGCGGCGCTGCTGGCGGCGGCGGCGGGGCGGCGCGACGTGGAGCGCCAGGCGAAGCTCTTCCTGGCGCAGATCAACGCCAGTCCCGTACGCTTCACGGCAGGAGGGCTGCTCCCCGTCGATCTGCGACTGTTTGTGAGCGTGCTCGCGAGCGCGTTGGGCTATGTGATCGTGGTGGTGCAAATATCGCCCAACTCTCAGGCCTCTGGTGGAGAAAATCATTCCATCAGAAACTCAACATAGTTTGCTTTTTAGGCTGGTTTACACCTAATTTATGTTTTTTGCAAGACAACCGCGTATTTGTAAAACAAAACGTCACCTGCAGTCGGCAAATTCGATGTTTTCTATGATGGCATGGAATTTGACAAACCCGCAAAAGACTTGATAGGGAAGGCTTTTTGTACAAGAACGACGGTCAGTATATTCAGATCACGCTAGACTGTAAACCAGCCTTTAAAACCACATTGTGCAGCATTTAAACCCACAAATCACAGTAGAATATCTCACCTATTGTTATTTGAGTTTTCCAAAATATAGTATATAAGTGTATAATAAAGTATTCAATTCGTTTTAATTGCCTTACATGTATGTTTTCTAGATTTGGGTCGACGGTGATCTATTTTTGAAGAATTCAACACCTACGCATTCGAGTCGATTCTCAGGGTGCTACTAAAAGAGCTGAGAGGTATAATGAATGATATTGGGGCAATTCAAGCCACTTACTTGAGCTATATGTCGAGAAAAAGTAAATTGAAAAAAATTAACACAGTGATCGCACTTGATGATAATTTAAAATAGGTTGATACCTAAGATATTTCACAGACACGTTTGACGTGTATCTTTCCTTGGGGATGCCGCGCTCTATTCGAATTGTTTGGATTGGTTTGTGTGTTTTTGCCAGATTTTGACTAGATTTTTACCCGTTTGCTTGATTATTACTTAATAACTTATTTACTAATTAACCTAATTACTGATTAACTGATTGCTTACTTATTTATTTCCTCACCAGTACAGGCTCCGCTCATCCTACTAACCAGCGCTATTTTCCCACTTCCTAATTACGTTTCCCAATTAATCCGCACATTTCATAGAAATGTTTCTAATTCTTGAGTCTATTAACTCAAATACCCTTAAGATAAGCGTTACGTTTCTATGTCAGAAGTAATACTCGTAGTTACCTATTCCCATTCATTAAATTTAATCAGTGAATTCAAAATAGTGGCTTGCAGCAGAAAAACTGGTGCAGAACAAAACCATACACAAAGGTTCTCCAAAAGAAGCATTGACGCTACACAATGACAACAAAAAAAATCAATCTTCACGAACAAAATATCCATCCCGAAATATATTATTCAATTGTCACCAGCCTGTCATCTAATGCAGAGGCATTTACAATATGGCAACCTGCACTTTAAGGCAGAAAAATGATGCAATTATTAAAATAATGCAGTATATACACAGTAAAAAATTCTATACCAAAGAGTTTCACAAACGTTTCTCTTCTATAAGGCAACACGCGAATAGCAAATATTTAATAGGCGTACTCTCCTTTGGCGCCTTGCTGTCGCATTTCGTCAGTCGTAAGCAATGGTACGAATGTGAGTATTTTATTCCGAGGAAAGGCGAAATAACCCATCAACAATTTGCATTTTTCTGTCATAATGTAAATTGTTTAATTGTTTTGTGATTTTCTGAACCACAGACACCTCTCACGTTACTGGAGTTTGCATAGTTTTCTCTTGATTTCGGTGCGCTTTGAAAATACGTAATATAGATTGACCTATGATGACAAAGTACAAGATAGCGACCGAAATAAAAATTTGTCTCCTCATGAAGCCAAAAAGACACATTTTCTTCATAAAAATTATTCGAAAGAACTTCGGTTCTAATTAAGAAAATAATATGCATTTAAAACAAGAATGAAAATAAATTTTTTGGATATTAAAACATTCCCATTTTAACACTCCCAAAAAACATTTGAAAGACAAAACTATAAATTATTCAAAGCTGATAAAATCATGGATTAGAAATGGAATTTGAAAGCAAGAAATGAATTCATGAATTACAAAATATCTCCTCTTTTACTTATTAATAATTTTTTCGAATTGTCTTGTCTGCCGTAAAATTCATGTAATTTCTCACAACCGGTCAGTTTGGTAACATTTCAAAGCTACTGTGTTTGCACGACATTAAGACATTAAATTCTCTCTAATTAGCTGTCTTTTGGAGACAAACAGGAGTTTTAGAGTTTCTGAATTTACTAAAGCTCAATCAAAAGGACTTGTGAATAAATGCCCAGACCATATGTCATGAATAAGTTCCCCTTGAGAAAAATTCTTCACTTGGTGTTGAAATAAAACGCAATCTGCTTTATTAGCTTTTTATAAGCTTAATTTAATTGCACTTTTTTCTGAGTATTTTAGACTGTTACAGTGCCTTTATTTATTAGTACATGATTTTATTTTCACTTTAAACATCAAAGTCAAATTTTGAAAGTTCTTGAAATTTCATAACAGGCGTTGAAATGATTTGTAACAGAACGCAATCTCCTTCACCAAATGTAAAATGCAGAGCTTCTAGAATATAAATTTGAGTTATACAAGTAATGGGTATATTTTATTAGTTTATATGGTTGGAAATTTCAATGCGTCCGGGCTGCTGTGTGATTTTAAGATTTCATTCTTTCTTTCAACTTCCACAGGTATTTAATTTTAATAATAATGAAAATGTTATCTAAATTTCTCGTAGAGTATTACAAATATATAATACGATACACCGTTTATGAAATTATTTGATTTACGCAACTCGAAGTATATTATATTTTTTCACCAATATTTTTACTCAATAAAAAGGATTATTAACACACAGGACATTAAAGTACAATATTATACATTAAAACACAAAAATATACTATTAGTATTCTATCTCTTTAAACTGTGGGTGTCCCTATGTACAGAAGCTCAAATACCATTGTACTTAACTGCGAGTAAGTCGCTAATTGACATTTGTTCACCAAGATGCTGAATGAATAGTTCAGAGGTCTGCAGTTCCCTACAATATCGGGGACTGTCTACGTCTCGGTTTTCAAGGTGTACCAGTTCCTTTCTCAGACTTTTCCTTTCATGCACACGCCAAACGTACGTTTTTTCGCCAGAATCAATTTCTCTTCTTTTTCTGATCGCTGCCTTAGGTGGTTTTCTAAGTAGTATGTAGAATGTTTTATAATGCTGTAAAAAAACATTTCTACTGCAAATTTCCACATGCTTTATCGTAAAATAAGGTTCCTCTTTCTTTTATTTTTTATTTACGTCAAAACAGTTAAAAACTGTGTGTGACGTGCTATGGGGAGAAGTTAATTTGAAGTTACATTTATGACCAGAAGCAAAACAATGGGCCATCTCAGCATTTGCTCGAGGATTAGGGAAACTGGACGGAAACCTGATCGACATGGGGGTCATTGACCCAGAAGCTGAAGTATAATACTTCAGAGTCGGGACCATCTTTAAAACGCCAACATGGTGTTACGCGATACGTGATCTCGCAGTGGCTCAGTCTCGTATATCGGGGTAGGTGCACGTTACTTTCTATTGGAGGGATTAGTATTTTAACGATGATTCCATTTTCATACCTCAGCGTAGTTAGCCCTGGGGGATGAGATGAAATTGTAATGATGAAGATGGTGATGATGAGTGGTCGAGCCGGGTCTCGAATCCGCGATCTTTTGGTCCGAGACCGCCACCGCACTTTGCCTTCGCGAGATCGTCCATCGGATCGGCAGCTATCATAATAATAATAACAACAAAAATAATAATAATAACAAAAATAATAATAATAACAATAACTACTATTATGTTACCTAGTTTTCTTACCTAACTCAGAAATATTTGAAAACATTCGTTTCTACAACAAGAATGTAAAAAAGATATGTTTTAAACAATATTAACATCATACTCAGTAACGAACAAGCCTCTCAAAAGTAAATAACTAATACACAGAATCAAGTATTTATAGATATCCTAAATTATCGCTTTGGTTACTTTTCTTTCGTGTCACATTTATCTTGACGGAATTGTGTTTTATCAAAAAAAGCGTATATTTGTTTATATTTTCTCAATTTTTTGATATTCTAATGGTTTAATTGGAAAGAAACTTTGAGAATATTATAGCAGATGAAGAGCTATTCGTATGTATGTATATTTTAGCTAGAAAACTTGAAACAGGTTTCTCTAAAGAAGAAACATATTTTTTAAAGATTGTCTCAATGTTATTAAAAATTATTGCGATAACAACAATTTTTTAAATTTTTAAACAATTTTGGATTAATTTTGATGATTCTGATCATGTCTTTGGAAATATGTTAAGTTCTTCGAAATATTAAAATATTCATTTCAAGTTCGTAGGGCCATGCCATCAGTTAGGTTGAACAAGAAATGCCCGTTTGTGTAAACATCTTTTACGCGCTAGTATTTTTGTTCACTGGCTTGTAATAATGGAGTGATGGCCAGCGATTCAAAAGACAATAAACACAACAAGAAATGCCCGCTTGTGCAAAAGCTTTTACGCGCTAGTATTGTTGTTCACTGACTTGTAATAACGGAATAATGGCCAATCATGTAAGAGACAATAAACACAGGACGTGACAGAAACTTCACACAGATTCTTTGCAGCATTACATATTTTTTTGCGTACTCCATAAACGAGAAAGCCAAGCGAGGCATTTCGAAAATGTCTTTTAGGGTTAAGAGAGCAATCCAAACTATAAAATTTCAATGAAATAATTATATGAGTTGTCAGTGCCAACAATATTACTTAGTACTACAGCAGCTTTCGATTACTTAGTCATCATCACCAGTAATAAACAATATTGTTGGCAATGACGAGTCATATATTTATTTCATTGTAAATGCCGACGCAAACTCACCACAATACCAATATAAAATTTCACTTGCGGTGACGTACGATATCGAATCCAGTCTACCACTAAATGCAGCATCTGCCTCCGCCTGCGGCTTCTACGCGGCGGTGATCGTCTCCGTCGATGGGCCTGCGGGGAGGGGGCACACTAATCGGCTGGGGCGCCTCTGCTTGGAGGGGGCGGCGGCGGCGGCGGCGAATTGACTGCGGGAGTGGAAGATATCCCTAACCCAATTTGGCAGCGGGCGTCCCACGGGCAAGCCTCCGACACTCTCTGCCCCTCGCACTCCTTTCCCGCCACGTTCATCAGCCCACGCTCTGCATTCGACCTCCCCCCCCCCCTTAACCCTCACCACTTGCCTCTGGCTGCGATTCCCTAGGGCGCGAGTCTCGCTGGTGGGCTGTTTTCGACACCAGCTAAATGGAATTATTTAACCGCTGTCTGGTGGACACGTTTAGCGGCCGGCTGCTCTGATTGGTGGTTATTCGTGATTTCTTTCATGTACAAGAGGCGAGTGTTGCAGTAGTGTCCTAACAAACGGGCCATGTATCGCGCGGGATCTTTCCTTCCTCGTTCTTGTCATTTCATCTCCCTTACATAGACTTAATTTGCGTTACTACATATGTTAGAAGATGGATCGGAAGCTTAGGGCTTGTCCCGGCAGGCGCGATGCTCCGGGCTGAGGAGATACTCGGAGGTGAAATTTCGACAGCCGGATTGTAGGTCGGTGCCGGATCTCACTTTCCGGCGGCCGAGGAACTTTGATACCTCCTGGGATAAATCCTTCACTGACGGGATTAATGGACAAAACACTAGAAGCTCCCGTACTCTCCAATCAATCAATCAATTCCACCGGACCGCACTTCTCCACACCTCACCCCACCCCTTCGCCCCGCCGCCTCAAACCATTCCTCCCCTCACCGCCATTCACCCTCACCCTCGCACCGTCCCCTCCACCCCTACTCCGCCCTGCCGCGCCAAACCCACTCTCACCGCCCCGCAACCCCATCCTGCTCAGCTAACTTGCCAAGCCCTTCCCCCCAGCCTCGCCCCACCCCCGCTCACCTCGCCGCTCGGCTCTTCTCCCCTCACCCCCGCGCCGCCCCTCCCGTCCTAGCTCGATCCATCCGTTTCGCACCGTCCAGCGCCGCTTGTAATGCCATTTGCTCGCCTTTGGCCCGCAACGTTCAACACTCGGCTGCCCCCGTCCCTTCCTCGCTGACCAACCGCTGCGAACAGAATCAGTTTGAAGGAAGACGATTAACGGGATCTGAAACGTAGTACTGGGGTGTTTGTGGCGTGGATGATGGCTCGTTAAAGTTCCCTGACATTTCAAATTAGGATGGTAGGACGAAGTCTTGAAGCTTCAGGAATAACACGTTTTTAATAAAAGCGATTTATTGCGATTTATTAAGCGTTTCATTGCGATGATTTATGGGCACAGATGTGTGTGTGTGTGTGTGTGTGTGTATGTGTGTGTGTGTGTGTGTGTGTGTGTGTGATATAATCCTGGAACTTGATATTTGAATAACTCTTCCATCCTGAACATCCTGTGTATACTTTTACACCACTGGAGATATTGGCATGCAGTTTTCTCCACACTTCATCTTCCTTCTACCCGCCTCCTCGCTCTTCGCCGCCTAGCTGCAATGAATCAGTAGTTTGAACTTCAACAATACCGTAGAAACACCGTATCACCAGGAAAGATCGTTTATTTCGGAAATATTTGAGGAGTGATCATGATACGATAAATGATATAACGGACAAATTTTACTTTTTTCAGAAACTTGGAAATATAAAATAGAATGCACATTGTTTATTCAATGTAAAAATATTACAAAATTTCCAGTAGTTTAATGTCTGATAGATATAACAAAGTAAGTGAGACATGAGTCTCTTCTCAATAACCGACATAAAACCTAATCAAAGTTGCCATAAAAAAAGCCATTGTGATTTTCACAGAAAAGTGATATGGGTAGACGTTACAAATGAAATGCACACATCTTCCTATATCAGAACTTAAAAAATAACACTTTGTTACATTGAGGTGCACAATGTTGTCATCCACTGACAAATACTTTTGTTAAACCTATGATATTTTTTTTCATGATAGCTAAAAGATCCTGTTTCTTTTCTGCAGTGTTTCTATGAGAACTCTGCATCTTTTGCATTTAGATTTATTTAGTAAAAAAACAGTAAAATCTGGTGACGTCTGGGGAAGAAGATTATCTGTGAACGTTTCCTTGAGTTCCAGAATCCCTTTCCGTCATTTAACTTTAAGTTATTGAAAGATATTTAAATTTAAAGATATTTAACTTTAAAATAAATAATAAAAATTAACTTTAAAAATTGCAAGATTAGCAATATTAGAAAAAAATAGATATTTTCGTTTCTGAGTTATAGAAAACGTATGTGCATCGGTAAACTAATTGCAAGTATCATTTTTCTGCATTGCTAACACAATAGTAACTCGCGCTTACCTCTTCTCCTACCATTACAAGCAAAAGGAGAGTTCAAGAAAACGTGCGCATAGTGAAGTTACTTTTACATCCAGAAGCAAAAAAAAAGAGCCATCTCAGCATTTGCTCAATGGATCAGAGAAACTGGACAAAAATCTGATCGAGATGAGTTTTCTTTTTGATAATCAGTATAGTCTCTAATTGTATAGAAACAGTTAGCCGGAAGAAAAGATGTTACTTTTAACTCAAATTTGGGAACCAACTTAATTGTTTAATGTCATCTGGCTATGCGTTGTAAAGTAAGGTACATGTTTTGTATGTAAATTTCTGATAGCTGTTGATACTGACCCTTGATGAACATGATTTTTACGACGTGCGTTTAAATTGTAAATATCAGTATTGCAATAAATTATGTTCCCACCGTTAGTTAGTCACTTTTGACAAATATTACAGATTCGTAAATATATAAGGAAGGTAGTGGTAAGATCCCAAGCTCAATGAAGAGATTCTTGCAAAGGTAACGCGGATGGCCTTTTGATTATTCGAATAATTTTCTTTTGCAAACTAAGTTGAAGTTCCTGTGTTTCCCCAATACTGTGCACATGTTTGCCCTTCCCGAAAATGTTGTATAAATTTCATTCATTAAAATTTTTGAATGATTCCTAGTTTTTATACCTTGAGGACAAGTTGTGAATACATGAAAGAGTGCTGAGCTTGAGATTTATGTATTAGTAGTCAGCTTCTTCAGCCAGATCAAAAAATCTTCCGGTTCCATATCAACCACCATAAATTAAGTTTAAACTTTAAAATCTCACTATGTCTTGTAATTCCTTTGAGGCCATAACTTTGCTTACCCTTTTACGTTCTTCAATAATACCAAACCCCTTATCACAGGAAATATAGCTATGAGCCGTCACAAGAAACATTATTTTCATTTGATCAAAATAGTCCTTTGAACAAATCATAGTAATACCATGCAATAATGCACAATCGCATTAACTCCTTCATTACAGCGAACCTCTTCTGGACCAAAATACCAGCTTCGCACTTATTATAAATTACTGTGTACAGTGAATTTGGAGATGCACCTCGCTCCGTCTATTAAGGCACCTAGAAACTACGAAAAGGTTGGCACACACTTCTACTAGATGCAGGGCTTTGGCGACGACACATATAACATTTTCCACGAAAAATCAAAAAGCATTTTCTTGTGGCACTTATACCATTTACCATGATGCTCCTCATTTACTTACTGGCTCGATGTTGGCCTCCGTTCGCCTCCTTTTGCGGTAAAATGATCTGCCTTCGTCCATTAGTAAAGTCCTTTTGCTGTTGATAAGAATATTATTTGCATCAAATCGAATTTATTAGTAGTGCTATTTAAAATGTTCCACATTGCTTTCATAATAACAAATTAATTGTAACATTAGAAAAAGCAGTTTTATATTTACATTTTAAGCGAGTAATTTTATATGCCATTGGAAATGGACAATGTGCAATTAGCTGGTAATAATGTGTAAAGGTTTAGGTCCCAAAATTCAAACCTTATATGGTTTGCATTCTGCTCGGTTTGGCAATAAAAAGATCACCTCGAATATATTCTGTTTCAAAATATTGACGCTTGCCAAGAGTAAATGACATAGAGGGTGTAGAGATTTGGAGCCCTGCGGCACATCGATTTTTCGAGCAGTTGACGTGGAAACTTTGAGAAATTTGCGAGCCATTTGTTTTATTAACAACGAAAATAAGTAAAAGCTATTCCATTTTATTAATAGTTTGAGGTAAACTCACTAGCATGTACCGAAGAAAATTGGAATTAACATTAAAAAATATTAGTCTAAATTTTCATTAATGAAGTTGCAATTGAATGGGGCATTTTTTACAGTGAAGAAAGGAAAAATATTTCTCTGTTTCTACTGCCTTTCGCAAGTCTACCGAAGCCATTCAAAGCCCAGACAAAGTGCTGGCCGAGCGATTTGCACAATGGCTTAAAAATTGTGTTGCTGCAATATCCCATTATTCCTCGCATTATTTCTAACACTTGAAGGATTTCAAAATTCAGGGAGTCCAACTAAAATAAGATCTACTCCATTGAATCCTTTGCGTGATCTGTACAAAGAAATTGGAGCAATTTTTTGACAATGTTAATTACTTTCAAGTAGACAATATGCAAAACTGTTAGTTTTCTTCAAAAAAATTGTACATAACCTATTTTAGAAATCCTATTTTTCAGAACAGGTTTGATTTAAAACAAAACATCTCTTTCATCAATTTTGAATTTTTTCAATGTTAATTTTTTGCAGCTTTCTAAAATACAGAGATTCTCAAAAACGAGACCAGCACCGATTTTTTACCTCATTTTGCTACATACAAGAAAATAAATTAAAGAAAAAAAAATGATCCCGTCTTGGCATAACAATGTTGCTTAAAAATTGCATATATTCACGTAAAACTGTCCACATTCTCGAAAATGTATACATGACCTTATTTCAAGATTTCATCAACGAAAAATATATTTTCTCAATATTATTGTCAAAGGAAGACTCCGAAAAAAAAATTGTGAGAGTTTGCAATTTTCAAAAAATTAGGAATTTAAAGAATATAATACTTGTATCATTTTGTAAGCAACTTTGAATCTGTCCAAGAGCAAAATTTAAACAAGTTGGGGCCATTTTAGAGAAAATTTAGAAAATGATCAGTTTTAATCTAAAGTAACCCACAAAAATCAAAATATCAGTTTCAAATTCGCAGCAAGAGTCGAGTTCCTTCAAAATAATCGGGGAATATCAATTTTGGAGAAAATCTTTTAAACTATTTAGGTGCAAGTGTTTACCACACAAGGTAAGTCAGCCGATCTGCTGTCAATCAATTTTACGGTATCAAGGATCAGCAAAACGAAGATACTACACAACGTGATAGAAGAAAATTTGTGTAGATGTTTGCTTGAAACTATGTTGTTTGTAATGAGTTTAAAAAAAAAAGATGACTGAAATACGATAATTCGAAGAGAAATTATGGTATAAATAGTATTACACACCTTTTGCTAAAAGGGAGACAGTACATACTGTTTTAGCAGCACTAGTGTCTGTAACGATGTTCGCGTATTCTTGGACGAAAAATTGACTATCTTGGACGCACCACGTTTGAAATGCAAACCCTTAGCTTTTCACTTATGCCAAATAGAAGTTATAATTGTTTTATTTGAGATTTGACACCAAATTGTAATTAATTTCCGCGCTTTTGTGCTAACAAGACAATAGTATCTGTGTACTTCGCAGTGAAAATGAAGATTGGATAAACATCCTTTTAAATTACTGTGCCTCGTTGGTGGGATATATCTCCCTGGTTGAAGACTTTTCCCGCAAGCTGAAAGGTCGGCGCCGGATCTCGTCACCCACAGAGGGAAGACCATCGCCACCTCTAGCAATAAATCATACGCTACATTTACGGGACTAATGATCATTAGCAGACGCGTCCCGACTGAGCTTAGAGTCCGAATTCGGCCTTGGGGTGCGTGGACGACGCCTCCAGACCGCGCCGCGCCGAGGGGCTCTTTCGATTTCCGGTCTGGTGAGCAGCGCCCTCTGCCGCCGACCCGCCGCCGCCTCCGTCACCGCCCCCTTCACCGCCCCCGCCGCCGCCTCCGTCACCGCCTCCTTCACCTACCCGCCCCGCCCCCGCCCCCGCCGCCCTCCTCCCACGCCCCCCAACCACCGCTTCCCGCCGACCAATGCCACCGCCCCGGCACCCTGCCCTGCCGCCACTCCCGCCCCGCTCCCCCCACCCGCCCACCCACCGCGCACCGCCACCACCGCCACCCCGCCCGCCACGCCAACACGGCCACCACCACTGCCACCACACACCCTGGCCTCGCCGCTCCGCCCCCGCCACCACCACACCCTTGCCCCAGTGCCGCCCCCGCCACCGCTCCCCCACGCCCCCACCACGCCCCACCACCCGCTCCCGCCTCCATTTCGCCCCGCCCCGCGGCCCCTGCCCCTCCGCCGCCCCGCCTGCGCTTCCCCCCACCCCCCTTCACCGCCCCGCCCCCTCCCCCGCCACCACCGCCCCCGCCCCGGCCCGCACCGCCACCACCGCCACACCACCGCCACCGCCCCCTGCCCTGCCCCCGCCTCCGCCAGCGCCACACCACCGCCACCGCACCACCCCGACACCGCCACCGGCACCGCCACCGCCACGCCACCGCCACCGCTACCGCCGCCGCCACCGCCACCGTTCACCACCTCCAACCACCACCGCCACCGCCAGCGCCCCCTTGCCCCTGCCCCCACCCCCGCCAGCGCCACCACCACCACCACACCCTGCCCCGCCGCCGCCCCCGCTTCCGCCGCTGCCGCCGCCGCCTCCGAACCAATTTCGCCTGGCGACTCGCATTCACGAAGAGGGCGCGGCGCCACTGGAAGAAATAGCGCGGGATTAGGACGCGACGCCGAGAAAATTACTTGTCGCTCGCTCATGCACAGGCGGCCGGGAAATGGGGCAGTCACAAAAGATCATTCAGGGCGGTAAGGAGAAGGAGATGGAGGAAATAAATATTCTTTGCAATTGTTGTACGGGCACTTGTTTGGAACGAAAGAATCAATGATCACTAGCGAATTAAGGTTAATATTTTTAGTCATGGTTGCTTAATTTTATTATCATGTCTTCATAACACCCAGTTTTTTAAATTTATATTTTCATGTGCCGTGGTTATAATTTAATGTCCAGTTTATAAAATGTTTGCTTATTTCCGTCCAAAAATGGTTTTAAAATAATTGTAATATCAATAATACGGACATCAATAAATATTATCTAACTGCAAATATTTTCTAATTATTAATATGTGTGCCGTTTGCTCCTAATACTTCACAAAATGATATGTGTAACGTAATTACAAATATCTTATAGGGTTGACGTTTGCTATTGATTACCTAAGGGCAAAGAAATGCAATATTACTATATTTCATAGTTTGATACAGTGCGTTCAATCTTCAACAAGCGCCATTGATTAGTTTATGCTTTATGATTTTATAAGACAAATCAATCATTGATACTTGTTGAATATTTAACTTACTGTTACAAGCTAAGAAAGATTGTACTATTTTCATTCTTTGTTATTTCCGTAATCTATAAGAAAAGTGAATTCAACACAGGTGAAAATACGTTTCTCTCAATCGCAGGCACATTCAGTTCCCGCTCGTGAGGTGCACATTAGTTTGGATCGTTAGTTTTCCGTGGTTTCTCCGATCAATGCCAGGCGAATGCCGGAGCAGAGCCCTAACAAACGGACTCCGCGCGATCTTTCCTTCCTCTTCCCTATCCATCCCTCACCCCTTACACACACACTTGCATGCACAACACGTACACACATGGCGAGAGACCGATGGGAAGCTCAGAGCTTGTCCCGGCTGGAGCAGTGCCTCGGTGGCGGGAGATATCTCAGTGGTTGAAGACTTTCCCCGCAAGTTGAAAGGTCGGCGCCCGATCTCGTCACCCACAGAGGGAAGATCTTCGCCACCTCTAGCAATAAATCATACGCTACATTTACACATTCACAGACACTACATTTCATCTTACGCTACATTCACAGACACAGTGCGGAGAGTCACATTACCTTCTCTATTGTCCAATATTGTAATATAGATAGATATTATTTTATGTAAACAATATAAAATAAAAACGTTTTCTCTCACGACGCCAGTTCTGCTGCAGATATATTAAATTATTCATTTGAATGCGAAGCAAGGGGTGAGTCATCACCGATGGGATCACTTAAAAATGCAACAAAATCTTTACCAGTAGTCTCGAACTGAACCGATGCTTGCAATATAGTTTCCCTACGCAAATCTTCCAAACTACGCAAACCATCTCCATCTGAAAGAATTGTACAACCCAGGGGCTCCTTAAACATCTTTCACATCTGATACACACGTTCCAATATGAACAAGAATTTAATCAAGAAAATGTGTTGAAATTTGGCTCAGATATTTGATGATAACAAATCTGCGTGGCGTGCTCTAATGGACACAGTAAAATAACTCTCAAGAATTATCAACAAATATATAAACTAATATCACTACCATATTATTTAGAAAGTGCAATTTATAAATTAATAAAAAATTTCATCGAACAAACCTACATCAAAACAACTAACTGTAAACAACTCTTCGAGAAGATGGCTACTCGTATTAGAGTCTTCAGAAATACTTATCATTATGACTCGAAACTTATTTAACAGTTGTTTGGAAATGCGAACGCTGACATCTGTTGAGAAGCAATGATTATTGTTTTAATAAGACGTTCTAATCTAATTAATGCAACATTTACTAGTTAAATGGTGAACTTACAATATGTACCACGGGCTCATACAGGAACACTATGCAGAGAAATAAATACGTAATAAAAATGATTTATTCCGCATATTCCGCATTAATATGCAAAAAACTCCCATGTATCACTTGCTATAAGTCATATAAAACGACTGATCCGTTTCAATCACCAAAGATAACCAATCAAAGTAGCGCTCAAAAACCACACGCTTTCAAGAAAACACCTCCACAGGTATAAAGCAATTAAAAAACGGCCGACGATCGGACCAATCCTAATATATGCGGCCACCTTTCTGCTCTCCCAATTAATTTAAATTACAAATCCCCGTCGCTTATCGCCGTCGCCAAGTTCCTATTTGGCAGGAGAGGGCACGCAGCAGCGGCGCGTCATGCATATTCAGACCACGCAGCCTCGCCAGCGATCCACGGCTTCACCGCCCCCACACACACCGACGCCCCCCACTGGCGCCTCCGCGCTCACTCTCCTTTGCTCCCTTCATAGACAACGCCCACACGCCGCTCTGTCGCCATCCTTCCCACCTCCATCGCCTTCTTAGGCAGGCCCCGCCACCTCCCACTCACATACACACACCACCGCCCCGCCCACACACACCACCGCCCTGCACAGCGCCTCGCGCGCTCACTCTCCTTTGGTCCTTCGTAGGCTAACGCCCACAGCCGCTCTGTCGCCATCCTTCCACCTCCATCGCCT